CCAGAGCCGTGACTTTGGCTTTGGGCCCTCCCACGCCGGGTCGCGGAATTCTACTGTCAGTATATTTTGCCATCCTCATTGACTCGGTTATTCTATTGGGGCTGCACTTGTACTGTTCGGATACTGCACCAGTTGAATACATGATAGCTGCACTTCTTGCAACGCAAGTCCTGTACAAGATTTCAACTCCTGCTACTGCAGGCGTTGGCAATCCTGTGGCGATCAGCAACCTCTGTATCAGTGTTCTGCATACTTCCACGCTGTATCTGCTGTGGCGAGGGCATACAAGAAGAGTCTCCGCTGCTCCCGCATCTCTTGCAATGCATGCCGATTGAATCAGTATGAGCACGAGGTGCATTCGTGAACTACTAGTGCACCCACACAACGATCAAACCTTGCAGGCAAGGAACCACATCAGGATTTGCCTTTGCCTTTGCCTTTGCCTTTGTTGGTTTTACATCCTGGCTCTACATGTTAACATGGAGCTGAACTTTCATTGAAGACAGAGTTTGTTGTATAAACAACCTTTCGCACACTATCACCGAGCACAGATGAACTTCGGGTCGCTCTTTCTCAAGCACAGATGATCTCAGGATTTCTCTTTGTCAAGCGCGCGCACATCACATCAGCCTCTATGCTGTCTGTGTGGTATTGTCCTCGTACTGATCTTTGACATTAACTTTTCCCACGCTGCAGTGGCATGTGCGTGCCTGGAATGAGCCAAAGACTGCAATAGACAGTGTCTGCACTCACATCAATGCGAGCTCAGCGCAAGCTGTTCTTTTACGCCTCGAAGGCAGCGCAGATGTTGATGAAAACGATAACGAGTATAGATTTCATGTTAGCAAATATTTGCGTGTTTTAGTGCATGTTCGTCTTGCTTTCTTTCTATTGTGTATACAAACAGAAGCAAGGCATATAGATAATGTAAGGAAACAACGCGTCGTTGATCATGTACGTTGCGAGGGTATGTTGAAATGTTCTAATCCTAATCATTGCATTTTACTTGCTTTGAGTTGGTGTCTTGGAGTGAGCTCCATGCGATATCAGGCTCTTGAAAAAGTTCGGGGCGTCCGAAGGAAGATAAGTGAAGCCCTGCGAAAGAACGAGAGGAGAGGATCAGTTATGATAGTTGGTAAAGGATATCAGGACAAACCTCATTCTCCTTGAAGCCTTCTGTGAGACTCTTGTAGAACTTAGGGTAGTGCAGCTTGCAAGTGGGCTCATACCCTTCAAATGGTCGAAACGCGGGTTTTGACTTCGGAGTTGTCTCTTCCACGTAGTCTCGAAGCTTTCCTATTGTGTCTTGCATGGTCGGTGGCAGGTCGGCAAACATTATCCCCCACTGATTCAGGTTACATCATATCCTTTCAGATCTTTCATACTTCCTTTCTTCCTCCTCTCTAGACTGTTCCTGTGGATGATGGGAAAGATTATTCTTTTTAATTTAGATCAACCACAGCAGTCCTCGTGATGGCTGACAGTCTGGCTGACAAACTTGAAAAAGTCGTTATGGCTGACAGTCTGGCTGACAGTCTGGCTGTATAAAAAGTTTGTTTTTGTGATGGCTTTACAACCCCACCCTTCTGTCAGCATGAAGGGTACTTGCGCAAACATGACGCAGGCGCGGAGCTGCGACAGCAACAATGCGTGCAAGACGTTCGTGCGCGCTTCTCTCGCAGTCAACATTGTTGTCCTCATTGCTGTCTGCACTGTTGTTATAGCTCCGGTTCGCCCAGAGGCCGTGACTTTGGCTTTGGGCCCTCCCACGCCGGGTCGCGGAATTCTACTGTCAGTATATTTTGCCATCCTCATTGACTCGGTTATTCTATTGGGGCTGCACTTGTACTGTTCGGATACTGCACCAGTTGAATACATGATAGCTGCACTTCTTGCAACGCAAGTCCTGTACAAGATTTCAACTCCTGCTACTGCAGGCGTTGGCAATCCTGTGGCGATCAGCAACCTCTGTATCAGTGTTCTGCATACTTCCACGCTGTATCTGCTGTGGCGAGGGCATACAAGAAGAGTCTCCGCTGCTCCCGCATCTCTTGCAATGCATGCCAATTGAATCAGTATGAGCACGAGGTGCATTCGTGAACTACTAGTGCACCCACACAACGATCAAACCTTGCAGGCAAGGTGATGTTGTACCCATGACATCGTTGCACTTGTAACGATGCAACAGCATCATGCCGAAATAGCAAAAACTATAAGGGCAATATGAAGTTTTATGTGGAATACCTCAGGTACCGTGTCGGGTACATTTTGGTACTTCATCAGGCAAATACCGACTGTTATGTGTACCATGCCCAACGTGGCAGGGCGCATCTTGTACGGTGGACCTGGCGGCTAGTCGTAAACTCAGTACATACGACAGGTAGAGTACTATGAGGATGAGACTTGACCGTACCATAGCAAGATCATTTACGACACTATTTAAGCTCAGAGAGGAGCGGACACCTTCGCTGCTCGTTTCCTCGCCACTCTTACACATCAGTCCCTCATACGTTATCTTGCTCTGCTGATACATAAACAAATCTAGCTTCATTCTTCATTCTCCCAAGCACACCTTGCTACGTTGTGGAACAAGTCTCACATCAGGTTAGAGCCTCGCGTTGAAGAATGACGACAGCTTACCAACTAAACTGGCCTCCATCAAATGGCAACTCGATCCTTACAAGAGTTACACCAGAGAATGCAAGAACTGCCGCTCCAGCAATCGAAGAATTTATTCAAAGAGAGCTAAGCGGGAGATTCTTTGCATATCTCAACTCAGAAGGGAAAGAAGAGAAAATGCAAGCTTTCTTCGAGCACAACATTCCAATCTCAGAAGGATTATCAGTTGCAGAAAAAGAAGCCATTATCGTCAAGCGGAGAGAATTCGTGCAAATAGCAGACCAAGCACTCATTCAAATTCTGTTTGCAATCTACGAAAATTGCAGCAGCAGAAAGAAAACCATAACGCGATATATGAAAGAGCAGCACAGCGATTCCAACGCAGGGAAGTTTCACTTCGCCGCGATACGAGCGTGGAATGAATTTAAACAATTGGACCAACCGACTGAGTTGTCAAGCACGAAACAAACAACTCAAAGCTTGAAAGAACTCAACCAAGCACTGAAGTATGGAGGAGACTATACTACTTACGTCACCGATATTATTCGGATTCTTGAGAGATTCATGGAAAAAGGACAGGACTGTGAACTCATTCTAGCCACCACCTGGGACCAGATCCAACATGAATTGAAAAGTATCGATCGACACGGAGAACAAGGACAAATCGCAAAATGGATTACCAACCAAATCCAACGAGCGTCAACCGAACCAACGTTCTACTACAACGAGAAACCCACCATTGAAAGCCTTCAACGATTTCACGAAGAACTCCTTCATTTCACCAAACAAGGATCTACGAAAGACGGTAACGCAGTCCCAATCGTGCGCACTACCTACAGCCACCCTGGCTTCCCAAACAAACGGAAGGCGCCACAAGACGTAGATGGCACAAACCACAAGAAGAACAAGGTTTACCATACTACGGATCAAGGCGGTACCCAAGGGCAAGAATGTGCGATTTGCATTGAGTGCAATTACCCCGCAAAGATCTACAAGAGTCACGGTACATCACAGCACGACAAGACTAAGATCGGCAAGAAATGGAAAAGAATTACCGGAGACCCAGTCAACGGATTCCAGACTAAAGCCTGGAAAAAAAGAGAACAGCAAGCTACTCGAGCAGCCGCACAGCAAGTTGGGAACCAACTGCCGAACAAGGGCTCCGCGTACAACAAGCCCAAGTTTCAGGGGAAACCCAACGCAAAAAACTTTCGTCAGAAAAACCCCAACTGTTCCAATGAGAACAGCGGGAACTACCCAAAGTCAAAGTTCAAAAAGAACATGACGACTACGGGAGGCAATGATTTCATTGTGAACCTTGCTGAAGCGTTACAGCAGGTCGCAAAACGCGGCCATCATCTCGCTGAATCTAACGATTACAGCACAGATGAGGAAAATGAAGAAGAACAAATTTCGGAAGGCGATGAAGAGGCTCCAACGCCTCCAAGACGCCTGAAAGAAACTGTCCGCAAGGCTGCCGCAAAAGGCAACAACGCTGCATCTTCATTCACTCAGGGTGCTAAAAACAACAGACATAAGAATAAATCTGAAAAAGATTACTCGAAATGTCTCGCTGCCCCACAACTACACAAGCGCAAAGAGATACCTCTTCAAACAGAGCAATTGGATGCGACTCTGTTTTCGAAAGTATCCACTCCATGGTTCCTAAAAGACATGTTCGAGGTACCTAGACTCCTCATTAGGAATCTGGACCGACATAAAGTCTTCATGACCTGTAGATCAACACAGAACAAGCATTCGCTGTTCGCTATCGTTGACTCAGGAGCCACCATCAGCGTCCTCTGCGACGCTAAGTGGATCCGAAAAAGATTTGCATACGAGAGCGAAATCACCGGAGTCGGTGGCCAGAAAGTCAACACATCCATGGGAGGCCTACTCGTAGGCAAGATGGAATCTGTCACCAACAAATCATATGCTTTCGCGACCCTTGCAACAATCATCCAAGACAAGAACGCTGCTGCAAATCTACTATCAATATGGAGAATTACGAACTCCAACAACACTGTTATTCATCATGGGAGCGTAACAAAAGGAACTCACGGTATCATCACTGCAAACAAGGATTTCATACCATTCTATTTTTGCCCTAAGACATATCTATGGTATGTCGAAATCAAACCGTCAGATGAACAAACTAATCGACTCTTCTCGTCAACAAACTCAATACAATGGGACAAGAAATCCTTGCTACGAGAAATACAACAAGGAGAATTTCCTCTCAACTCTAAACCGCGATCAACAAACAAAACACAGAAACTAAAACAGAACGCAAGTACCTATTACACCAAGGTATCGAACTTGAAAACTCTCGCAGATGGGGAGGGAACATAGTGTACTACGAAGCTGCGAAAGCTTTCCAACCGACACCTATGAAATCCATACCCATAAGCATGCGGGACGTTCGTCAAGAATTAGAAGACATTACCTCGGAAGAATCTGTCGACAGCGAAACCGAAAGTGATCACTCCAGCTCAGAAGAAGAAAACCTTACTGAAGAGTCAAGGATAAGTGTAACACAAGATGCTATCGACAAACAGACCAAGGACTACTTCACAGATCCAAAATCGTTCGCAGATATAGACGACTTCACGAATACAACGATGGAAGAATTGGATGAAAATGACAAAGAATACGAGGAGCAACTAAAACACGACAAGTCCGACCTCAAGGATATCTACCTCTATTCAACAGGAGAAAGAATACGAGGAACTAAAGCCTCAGCTATCCTCCTGAAATGGCATATCAAGACAAATCATATCAACAAAAAATACCTATTCCAACTTGCAGACAGAATTGACGGGATGGAGGAACTGAGGAGACTCAGCAAAAAGACCCCACTACCAACTTGTCATACTTGTCGCAGAGCAAAAAGCAAAGCGGCTGCATTACCGAAATTCAAAGAAAAGAGATCTGACAGCCGGTTCCATCGACTTCATGGAGATATGAGCACATACCGACTAAGGTCCATCGAAGGAGCAAAATACCTGATGCTATGGAAAGACAGTTATAGCTCATTCAAAATGCCAGTCGGAATGTACAGCAAAAAAGGTTACAGAAAATCTCTACGCCTAGTCACACGCAGATACAACAACGGGGTCTTCCCCAAAGTTGTACGCGTAGACAACGGCGGTGAGATGACGTCGAAAAAATCTCTGAGAATGTACGAAAAGAACAACATCTACCTGGAACGGGCTGCACCCTATGAGCACTGGCAGAATGGCAGAGCAGAATCTGGGATCTATTCATTAGACACCAGAACTCGACTCGCCATAATCCATTCCAACGTGCCGAAGAACCTGTGGCTCAACGCAATCTATTACAACGCTGAAATCGAAAATGCATTCTTACCTATGAGCAGAGGATCAGACATGAGCTGCTACGAAGCGTTCACAGGGAAAAGACCAAACGCGGAGAAATTTCACCCATTTGGATGCCTGTGCTATGTCCATGTGTTAAAAGACAGGAGATTAGCACAAGGAAGAGACAAAAAGCTAGGACCTACGGCAGAAGTCTGTGTATTCCTTGGATTCGCCCACCATCTAGGAATGAAAGGATTCCTCGCAGCGTCTCTAAATGGCAAACAACTCTACGTCACAGAAAACAACATAAGCTTCAATGAAGAAGTGTTTCCTTATCGATTCTCACACCCTGAAGATAAGACATGGAAAATACCATTCGGAGCTTGTAACGATTTCGGAGACGACAATGTCACCATACTCAATCGAGCAGGTGAACGGTTAACAGAGATGTCAGGATCATCAGACTCAGAAGAAGAGATGATAGATAAGTCACATCACAGAAACCGACGTACGACAACAACTTACAAGAAATCACCGGCACCAACCTCCAATACGCTTCATCTTGAAGAAGACGATGATCTTCGACAGGACCCGAAAGTAATTGAGTTGGACACCTCGTTGGAGGTAGACAACCACTTGACAAGATCCTGCGAACAAACATCAGTCGTCAGAGAAAGCGAAATAGAAGAAGAACCAGTCATCGATGAAGGATTATCATCCCTCAACAAAGAGCTGGCAAGCCTTCAAGTTGAGACTCATAATAGCGGAGAAAAGGATTTCAGATGGGATTTAATCCCCGGGATACCTAAGAATCAACTACGGTCAGGAAAAATAGTCAACAAAGACACCGAACAATCTGGTGACTCCGACAATGAATTACCTGGAGGCCTAGAAGAATTCGCAACCTCCGACTATGTGAATAACATAGGCGTACCACACCAATTCCAGGCATCATCGAAAATGCAATTCTGCGGTGTCATGGTCGATTGCTTCAACACGTCTAGACATACAACTGGGTGGTCACACGGACCAGCACAGAGAAATATCTACGACGAAAACCACTACAACCAAGAAATCGACACATTGATGTCATTCCTTCGAGAATGCAAGAAAGATGAGAAAAGAGAATACC